GAGAAAGAGGAGAGAGTAGTATACAATTGAGATTCTCCCAATTTCATCCTTAACCATGTTGAAAGGCAAAGAACTCACAAACAAAAAGAGACAAATGGTTCTTGACCTTCATAAATCAGGCAATGGGTACCAAATATTGCTAAAAAACAGATTATAAACTGGGTTGTTCATGCCCTGAATCCTGATTGGCTGACAGCCGTGGTATATCAGACCGTATACCATGGGTATGACAAAACTTTTATTTTACTGCTCTAATAACATTGGTAACCAGTTTATAATAGGAATAAGGCACCTAGGGGGTTTGTGATATATGGCCAATATACCATGGCTAAGGGCTGTGTCCAGGCACTCCGTGTTACGTCTTACATGAGAACAGCCCTTAGCCGTGGTATATTGGCCATATACCACACCTCCTCGGTCCTTATTGCTTAAATATATCACCTACCACTTTTAGGGCAATAATTAACAAGTTTAAAACCACTGGAACAGTGGTAAACTTGCCTGGTAGAGGCCGCAAGTGTATCTTGCCCCCATACACAGTGAGAAAGGTGTTTCCGGGGGCCAAGAAAAATCCAAGGGTCACAGTTGGAGAATGAAGAACTTGGTCACATCTTGGGGTCACCAAGTCTCCAAATCAACAATTAGACGCCACCTTAATACCAATAGGCTCTTTGGAAGGGTTGCCAGAAAAAAGCCTTGGCATTGGAACTTGGATAATAGTGCTATGCTCAGAGAGATGTGTAGGTGCTTCTAGGTAATCAGAGAGGAAGGTAAGCAGGGAGGAAGTGGGTCTACAACAGACCCACGTTTGGAAAGTCTGTTAAATAATATGATCCTTTAGATAATTTGTCTCAAATTCCGCCAATCATAATGACCAACCATCGTGCACACCGGCACATTAAGTTGAAATGGAATTGTATTTAACTTCTGGCTTCCCATGGACTGTTTTTGTGCAACCAAATACAATTAAAAGCAACGCTAGTGTACGTAAATACACCTGCATTGTTAATGGATGTGGATTTTTGATGTTATGGGGTTGTTTTGCTTCCACTGGTCCTGGGGCCCTTGTTAAGGTCAACTACATCATGGACTTTACCAAGCAGGGGCGAGTGGGGTAAGTTGAGCCATAGAGGTAAGTTGAGCCACCCTTGTTTCTAGGAAACCATACACAAAATTAATAATTTTACCAAATATTTAGAAAGAGGTCATCATTTCATGAAGTCCGTGAAGGAAGAAACCATATGGAAAAAGTGGTGAGCAAGTTAGGTCCAAAAAACAGATTTTCACCAAGTCAAATGAATGTATTGTGTTATTGTGTATAGGTTTCATGATGCTTGTATCTAATATCTAAACCAAATAGTCCATGAGCCAGACCCCAAAATTTGGACCGTCGGGCTTGCATAGTGATTTTTTTGAAAGTCTATGTCCCTAGAGTTGTAAAATGTGTGATAGCAGTACAGCGATGGTAGCTTTCTCTGATATCACTCTTTCATTCATCCCTCCATCCCATTCGTTTTTACCTTATGACAAACAATGTCAGTATACAACAAGTTATTGCTCACTTACTGTATACCCTTTAATCATACAGTTGAAGTCGGAAGTTTACATACACTTAGGTTGGAGTCATTAAAACTCGTTTTTCAACCACTCCACACATTTCTTGTTAACAAACTATAGTTTTGGCAAGTCGGTTAGGACATCTACGTTGTGCATGACACAAGTAATTTTTCCAACAATTGTTTTACAGACAGATTATTACACTTATAATTCAGTGTATCACAATTCCAGTGGGTCAGAAGTTTACATACACTAAATTGACTGTGCCTTTAAACAGCTTGGAATATTCCAGAAAATTCTGTCATGGCTTTAGAAGCTTCTGATAGGCTAATTGACATAATTTGAGTCAATTGCAGGTGTACCTGTGGATGTATTTCAAGGCCTACCTTCAAACTCAGTGCCTCTTTGCTTGACATCATGGGAAAATCAAAAGAAATCAGCCAAGACCTCAGAAAAAACATTGTAGACCTCCACAAGTCTGGTTAATCCTTGGGAGCAATTTCCAAACGCCTGAAGGTACCACGTTCATCTATACAAACAATAGTATGCAAGTATAAACACCATGGGACCACGCAGCCGTCATACTGCTCAGGAAGGAGACGCGTTCTATCTCCTAGAGATGAACGTAATTTGGTGCGAAAAGTGCAAATTAATCTCAGAACAACATCAAAGGACCTTGTCAAGATGCTGGAGGAAACAGGTACACAACTATCTATATCCACATTAAAACGAGTCCTATATCGACATAACCTGAAAGGCCGCTCAGCAAGGAAGAAGCCACTGCTCCAAAACCGCCATAAAAAGCCAGACTACGGTTTGCAACTGCACATGGGGACAAAGATCGTACTTTTTGGAGAAATGTCCTCTGGTCTGATGAAACAAAAATAGAACTGTTTGGCCATTATGACCATCGTTATGTTTGGAGGAAAAAGGGGGCTGCTTGTAAGCCGAAGAACACCATCCCAACCGTGAAGCATGGGGGTGGCAGCATCATGCTGTGGGGGTGCTTTGCTGCAGGAGGGGCTGGTGCACTTAACAAAATAGATGCCATCATGAGGAATGGGCCAAAATTCACCCAACTTATTGTGGGAAGCTTGTGGTAGGCTACCTGAAACGTTTGACCCAAGTTAAACAATTTAAAGGCAATGCTACCAAATACTAATTGAGTGTATGTAAACTTCTGACCCACTGGGAATGTGATGAAAGAAATAAAAGCTGAAATAAATAATTATCACTACTATTATTCTGACATTTCACATTCTTAAAATAAAGTGGTGATCCTAACTGACCTAAGACAGGGCATTTTTACTAGGATTAAATGTCAGGAATTGTGAAAAACTGAGTTTAAATGTATTTGGCTAAGGTGTATGTACATTTCCGACTTCAACTGTATACCATTGGAAAGCTTAGATTCACAGTTATCCATCAGTAACATTTTCGGAATGTTCAGATCAACAGAACGTTGACCTTTGACCTCTAGGGTGCATATCAGAATTACCAGTATGCATTTCTTTAAGAATGAAACCCTGATACATTTTAAACGTTGTTTGACAAGTGTTTTTGAAAGGTCATGAAATTACCTTTCAAATGATCAATAATATAACCAACTTTGTAAAGCACCAGCTACTAATCCCCCATATTGTGCCATTGAGCACTGACATTAGAATGTTGGAAGCTTAGCCATAGAATTCCATGTAATAGGGCAGCTATGTTTTTGGATTGTAACTTTGGTATTTGGCACCAAATTGCACACACACAGCTAGAACAGGGTTTTAAAAAGATTTGTAGATCCAGGGCCATCACAGAATTCATACAATAAACCCACAGAAGCCTTTTTTCAATATGGCCGTCAAACAACTCAAGGTCTTATTGGACAATTTCACATATTTATTTTTACAGTGATGTAGAATACACAACCAAATTACCCAGGTGTGCCAGATATACAGTATGAAGATCTTACATTGTTCACATAATTGTGGTAAGAATGTGCCCAAAAAGGACATTTTAGCCAAAAACCTGGTTTCCTCTGTCAGGATGCTAAAACTTGGCCGCAAGTTGATCTTCCAGCAAGAAAATAACCCCAAGCACACATCAAAATCCACAAAGAAATAGTTAATTGACCACAAATGAAACATTTTGCATTGGCCATCTCATTCTCCGAAAACCTGTGGTTTGAATTGAAGAGGGCAGTCAATAAGCGCAGACCGAAGGATATCAAGGATCTGGAAATATTCTGTATCGAGGAATGGTCTAAGTCTCTCCCAATGTGTTCTCCAATCTCATAAAACATTATAGAAAAAGTCTCAGTGCACAAAGTATTGAAAACAGGGGTGCCAATAATTATTCGTATTTGGCTACTTTTTTATTTTATTTGAGAAATGTGTAATTTTGGTTAATTCCATTGAATCATTAATAAAGTAAAATATATTCCACATGTTAGGAAATGACAGCTCAGTACTGATATTATATTTTTTGTTCATCTTTATCATAGGTGCCAATACGTTTGGAGGTGACTTTTTGCATTGTCATTAGCTAACCATATGCAGTACTGCCATCCTGAAATCTCATAATCTTATTGGCTTTTACATGCTGCTGCACCATAGTGGTCAATCCCTTTGTTCTTGTGAAGGGTAGGAAAATGGGTAGATAAAGTACTTTACAATATGTCATATATGACATGCTTTAGGAGTTAAGAATAGCAGCAGATCCAACCTCATGTTTACTGCTGCTCTAAGCATTTCTCTCTAATTGCACATTTTGGGCGCTGAAGAGGCCTAACTTCTCCAGCGAGACTCGTATCAGAGCTTCTCATTTTATGATTATTCCAGAGTATGGTGTTCCATTCGTTTGATGCAAACACTCAGATCTGTGGATTTGCATATGTTATAGTTAATGTGGAAGAGATGTGCTTTAGAAACCGCTTGGGAGATCATTTTACTGCAGGTCACATTTTAATGAGCAAATAAAAAGTAAACTCCTCTGTTATTGTATCTGTTTATGTATAGTTGTTGTCTTTTATTGAAGTTCATGATCTACTTTGATCTTAGGCATTTTTCATGCATAAATGTGATGTGAAACAACAGGTATCAGTGTGAAGCAGGTGTTTGACCCGGTTTGAACTGGCTTTGAAGAGACATGAAGGAATTCTAGTAGTGGGAAGAAGAGAATGATGAGCAGGATACATTCATGTAATACCCCCATTAAAGTTTTACAATAACATAAATCTATAATTCATGTCACAATTAGCAGAATATAACATGACAGCATTCATCCACTCATTATTTGAAATGCCTCTGTTGGGCAAAACACTACTTCCCACAATCCTCAGTTTTACGTTAAGACGTATTGAGCGAAACAAACAAACAAACAGGAAGTAGACAAGAAAGTCAGGATTTGATCCAGATTACCAGTAGACAGCTAACGTTAGCTACAACAAATTCAAGATGCTGAAATCTGTGATTCTTATTGGAGGCCCGCAGAAAGGTGAGTGTTAAGTAAATTACTCATTTGCAAATTCATACATGTTAATTCCTCCAGTTCTGCTATCTAGAACCAGATATCTAACTAGCTGTTAGCGAGCCTGGCTCTGAAGGGCTAGCCTAGGGGTGTATTCATTACGATTCTATTACAAAACTGTTTGCAACAGAAACCGTTTATTCCAAACGCTGTTGAGTTCCGTTTGGTTCTTCAACGGAAGTTGTAGTTAAGTCGTGTGTCTCTTCATAAAAAATAAGCGGACTTCACTTAACTTCAGAGCATGGCCGAATCGATAATTGCTTGTGCCAAACACTTTGCAGACTATTCAGATTTGAATAGCAACGTGTGGAAACCATACAATTAAAATGAACGACAATTAACGTTTAAGAACACAACAGCTTTTCCGTCATGTTGAAGAGCGTTTGGAGCAAAACGTTTTGCAACAGAATCTGCATAATGAATACAGCCTAGTTGGAGGCTACTGAATGACGTGGCGTGATCATGGAAAACCGCAGGTGCAGTTTGCCATATCTAAGCGTTTTGCCAATAAGCGTTGTCGAAAAAGAGAATAAATGTGATTGTGTGGGCTGACAGCTAGCGGTCAAGATAGCCGATATACTGGCATTAACATTCTGTGCTAGCTAGATCGCTACTTGAATTGTCACATTGAAGAAGTTGAGCGCTTTCAACTCTAGGCCAGAATAAAATAGAAAAGAAGAATAGAATAGGGGTGCTTTCAACTCCATATAATATAATCTAGAATATAATATCATAATAATAATAATAATAATAATAATAATAATAATAATATGCCATTTAGCAGACGCTTTTATCCAAAGCGAATTACAGTCATGTGTGCATACATGTTTACGTATGGGTGGTCCCGGGGATCGAACCCACTACTCTGGCGTTACAAGCGCCATGCTCTACCAATTGAGCTACAGAATAACTTCTTTACTTTTCCCAAGGTAACTTCTAATTATTTCCAGAAAGAACTGGCGTGCTGATCGAGGATAGACAGGTTATCAAAATATAATATGATCAACTGAGCAGGTGACTTGCTTTGTCATACAGGTACACGGTTTCGACCATTGTCCTTTGAGGTCCCGAAACCCTTGTTTCCAGTGGCTGGTGTGCCCATGCTTCAGCATCACATTGAAGAATGTGCCAAGGTAGGTTAGCACTGACAAAATAATCAATCTCGCTCTGTTCATCTTCATCATTGGTGGAAAGAAATATGGTTTGCATTTTTCCCATAGGTGCCAAATATGAAGGAGATTTTGCTAATTGGCTTTTACCAGCCAAATGAAGAACTTACCAGATTCATGTGTAGCGCACAGCAGGAATTCAAAATCTCAATCAGGTAAACGAGAGGATCATAGTCAATGGATGGACAGTAGCCTTATTGATAAACTTGTTGAAACTCTGTAGGTATTTGCAGGAGTATGCTGCTTTGGGCACTGGAGGCGGCATCTACCATTTCAGAGATCAGATTCTATCTGGTGGCCCTGAGGCATTCTTCATTATGAATGCTGACGTGTGCTCTGAGTTTCCTCTACCAGAGATGCTCAACTTCCAGAAGGAACACGGAGAGCCTAGCAGTTTCGTCATCCTGGGGACAACTGTGAGGAGACTTCCATGATTTCTATGGCTTGGGCCTTCAACAATACAGGGAAAAGTTGGCCAATGAACTGTTGGGAATATGCTTGATGGAGACATTGGGGTATAATTTTGTCTTTCACTTGTTTTATTTTTCTTCTTTATTTTGCAGGCAAACAGAAAGCAGTCCATGAACTATGGCTGTATCGTGGAAAACCAGCAAACAAATGAGGTGATGCAGCACATTTTAGTCACGCTTATATATGAACAATTATGACTGTTATTACTTGATCCAGAAAGTATTTACTAATCTCTAGCTCTTATTTCAGGTTTTACATTATGTGGAGAAGCCTAGCACTTTTGTGAGTGACATCATCAACTGTGGAATCTACCTGTTTACCCCAGAGATCTTCCAACACATTGGGGCAGTCTTCCAGAAGAACCAGCAGGACATGCTGTTGTGAGTGGGAGGGATCCCTCAGGGACCCTATCGTGGGAGCATAGAGATCCTGTAGGATCCTAGGATCTCTATGCGTGGGAGTGGTGCATGCGAATTTGATAATTTCCTATCCTTGTTTCTCCTCATTTGTCTTTTTTCCTTTCCCCTTTCCTGCCATCATTCTGTTTCCCGTTTCCCATCACCAGATATCCATACGAGGGGTAAGTCGGTACAAACAGTGTGGCTTTAGAGTAGAGATGGGCATTAGTCAAATACGTCACACAAAAATATCTGTATCTAAAAAGCGTATCTCTTCATTGAGTCACAATACTAGCACATGGGGTGATAGGTCATTCACAAAGGTGCGTTTTGGAAGGTTTATTTCCACACACTCACTTTTATCTTGATGTGCACTGCACATCATCATCATCACTTGTCAAGATTGAAGGAGTTGGCATACACATTTATACAATTGTTAGTAGTAAATCACAAGCATATGCACAATCAAATATTTCATTATAAAATGTGGACCCATTCAAAGGGAATGGTGTGATATTGGCCATGATATAAGAATATTTTTGGACTTCCTTATGTGTTCCATTACTCAAGTCAACCATGTTGCCTCTGATCCCTCTTCTGTCAAATTACTTTTGCTTTCATAATCCATTTTAATACTACTGTGCTTGTCAACTTTTAACAATCCCCACTTTATCCTTGGGCACTTGGTGAATCCATTACTCTTTTTGACAACTCTTCTTGGTGACTTTGGTGCTGTTAATGACCCATCTAAAGTCTTTCAAACTTTCTCATGACCTTCAAGCTAGCCTTAGGTCACAATCCAATCGGAAGTGGTTGTGAGCTAACATTTCGTAAACACTGTACTAGAGAATTATTGAGCACGCTTGTTTTGCATTGCCCGGTGCTCTCTGTGGGTGGGTGGAGTTATCACTTTAGAACCAATTGAATGGTCTAAAATGTGGCAACTGCCCACCTGCGCCCAGAGAGAAATATTAAGAGCATGGTCTCATACATTGGTGTCTTCCTCACAGAGACGAGCAGACCAATGGCAACGGCTGGCATCGGGCTGAGGCAATTCGGTTAGAACAGGACATCTTCACAGCCCTGGCTGGACAGGGCAAGCTCTACGTCTACAAAACACCTGCCATCTGGAGCCAGATCAAATCTGCAGGGTGAGTAAGTCATCTCAATCTGTGAAAAACTTGTGTGGTCAGTGGGACCTGAAGATGTTGGAGTAGTATACTTCTTCTGAATCTGTGTAATAGGAATTTCCAGGTGAACAAAAAGGAGAGCAGTCGTAGGTAAAGTTAATCAAAAATCTATCCGGTTTATTACGAGTTGCAGCAGGGAGACAAACACCTCCAGCACAGAAGCAGAGAAAATGTCTAACTGGTCTTCTCTGAGCAGGCTCTTATATCCTAATCAGAAAGCACCTAATGTTCTGTAAACATCAGCCCGAGAGGCTTGTAAGAAGTCAAAACAAAAAGGCAGTGACTTTGTCAGTTGCTACAGAACCATACAGTGTTCACCGAATGTCATCAATACAATACAACAGTAAATAATCTGTGTCCTTTGTCCTTGTACCTCCAGTCTGGCGGCAATTACTATCAACAGATATGAGAATAATCCATAACATTCAGCATCAAGTCTAGTGACCAACAACACGCACCCAGAGTGTCACAAATAGAACACTGGAAATGGTGTATTACAGAAACTCAAAATATGCTAATCATTGTGTTGATCACTCTAAACTAAATATTAACTTTAGTCATCTTACATTTCCCCATTACAATTTGCTTTTTGTAAAAAAAATTAACAGGTCTGCAATATACGCCAGTCGCTTGTACCTCAACCAGTACCATAAAACCCACCCTGAAAGACTGGCAACAAACAAGGATGGAGGGCCTAGAATAAGTGGTAGGTTATAGTACAGTACTTGCCTTTTTGTTACCTTTTTGAAGTTTTTGGTTGTCTTTACAAGTGTATTTACACCAATTATTTATTTTTGTTGTCCCAGGAAATGTTTACATTCACCCAACAGCCAATATTGACCCTACTGCGGTGGTAAGTGCTTATCCTTGCTCTTACTACTTACCTACATGTACAGTGCATTCGGAAAGTATTCAGACCCCTTGACTTTTTCCACATATTGTTATGTTACAGCCTTATTCTAAAATTGATTATATTGTTTAATCTACACACAATACCCCATAATGACAAAATAAAAAACTGAAATATCACATTTACATAAGTATTCAGACCCTTTACTCAGTACTTTGTTGAAGCACCTTTGGCAGCGATTACAGCCTCGAGTCTCCTTGGGTATGACACTACAAGCTTGGCATACCTGTGTTTGGGGAGTTTCTCCCATTCTTTGCTGCAGATTCTCTAAAGCTCTGTCAGGTTGGATAGGGAGCGCTGCACAGCTATTTTCAGGTCTCTCCAGAGATGTTCGATCAGGTTCAAGTCCGGGCTCTGGCTGGGCCACTCTAGGACATTCAGAGACTTGTCCCGAAGCCACTCCTCCGTCGTCTTCAAATGAAATGCAAATAGTCCGGGTAGCCATTTGATTAGCTGTTCAGGAGTCTTATGGCTTGGGGGTAGAAGCTGTTAAGAAGCCTTTTGGACCTAGACTTGGCGCTCCGGTACCGCTTGCCGTGTGGTAGCAGAGAGAACAGTCTATGACTAGGGTGGCTGGAGTCTGACAATTTTTAGGGCCTTCCTCTGACACCGCCTGGTATAGAGGTCCTGGATGGCAGGAAGCTTGGCCCCAGTGATGTACTGGGCCGTACGCACTACCCTCTGTAGTGCCTTGTGGTTGGAGGCCAAGCAGTTGCCATACCAGGCAGTGATGCAACCAGTCAGGATGCTCTCGATGGTGCAGCTGTATAACCTTTTGAGGATCTGAGGACCCATGCCAAATCTTTTCATTCTCCTGAGGGGGAATAGGCTTTGTCGTGCCCTGTTCACGACTGTCTTGGTGTGTTTGGACCATGATAGTTTGTTGGTGATGTGGACACCAAGGAACTCGAAGCTCTCAACCTGCTCCACTATAGCCCCGTCGATAAGAATGGGGGTGTGCTCCGTCCTCTTCTTTTTCCTGTAGTCCACAATCATCACCTTTGTTTTGATCATGTTGAGGGAGAGGTTGTTATCCTGGCACCACACGGCCAGGTCTCTGACTTCCTCCCTATAGGCTGTCTCATCATTGTCGGTGATCAGGCCTACCACTGTTGTATCGTCGGCAAACTTAATGATGGTGTTGGAGTCATGCCTGGCCATGCAGTCATGGGTGAACAGGGAGTACAGGACTGAGCACGCACTCCTGAGGGGCCCCCGTGTTGAGGATCAGCGTGGCAGATGTGTTGTTACCTACCCTTACCACCTGGGGGCGGCCCGTCAGGAAGTCCAGGATCCAGTTGCAGAGGGAGGTGTTTAGTCCCAGGGTCCTTAGCTTAGTGATGAGCTTTGAGGGCACTATGGTGTTGAACGCTGAGCTGTAGTCAATGAATAGCATTCTCACGTAGGTGTTCCTTTTGCCCAGGTGGGAAAGGGCAGTGTGGAGTGCAATAGAGATTGCATCATCTGTGGATCTGTTGGGGCGGTATGCAAATTGGAGTGGGTCTAGGGTTTCTGTGATAATGGTGTTGATATGAGCCATGACCAGCCTTTCAAAGCACTTCATGGCTTCAGACGCGAGTGCTACGGGTCGGTAGTCATTTAGGCAGGTTATCTTAGTGTTCTTGGGCACAGGGACTATGGTGGTCTGCTTGAAACATGTTGGTATTACAGACTCAGTCAGGGACAGGTTGAAAATGTCAGTGAAGACACTTGCCAGGTGGTCAGTGCTTGCTCGGAGTACACGCCCTGGTAATCCATCTGGCCCTTCGGCCTTGTGAATGTTGACCTGTTTTAAGGTCTTACTCACATTGGCTACGGAGAGCGTGATCACACAGTCGTCCGGAACAGCTGATGCTCTCATGCATGCTTCAGTGTTGCTTGCCTCGAAGCGAGCATATCAGTAATTTAGCTAGTCTGGTAGGCTCGTGTTACTGGGCAGCTTGCGGCTGTGCTTCCCTTTGTAGTCTGTAATAGTTTGTAAGCCCTGCCACATCCGACGAGAGTCGGAGCCGGTGTAGTACGATTCAATCTTAGTCCTGTATTGACGCTTTGCCTGTTAGATGGTTCGTCGGAGGGCATAGCGGGATTTCTTATAAGCGTCCGGGTTAGTGTCCCGCTCCTTGAAAGCGGCAGCTCTGCCCTTTAGCTCAGTGCGGATGTTGCCTGTAATCCATGGCTTCTGGTTGGGGTATGTACGTACGGTCACTGTGGGGATGACGTCATCGATGCACTTATTGATGAAGCCAGTGACTGATGTGGTGTACTCCTCAATGCCATCGGAAGAATCCCGGAACATATTCCAGTCTGTGCTAGCAAAACAGACCTGTAGCTTAGCATCTGCGTCATCTGACCACTTCTTTATTGACTGAGTCACTGGTGCTTCCTACTTTAGTTTTTGCTTGTAAGCAGGAATCAGGAGGATAGAGTTATGGTCAGATTTGCCAAATGGAGGGCGAGGGAGAGCTTTGTACGCGTCTCTGTGTGTGGAGTAAAGGTGGTCTAGAGTTTTTTTTTTTTTTTTCTCTGGTTGCACATTTAACATGCTGGTAAAACAGATTTAAGTTTCCCTGCATTAAAGTCCCCGGTCACTAGGAGCACCGCCTCTGGATGAGTCTTGGCCGTGTGCTTAGGGTCGTTGTCCTGTTGGAAGGTGAACCTTTGCCCCAGTCAGAGGTCCTGAGTGCTCTGGAGCAGGTTTTCATCAAGGATCTCTCTGTACTTTGCTCTGTTCATCTTTCCCTTGATCCTGACTAGTCTCCCAGTCCCTGCCGCTGAAAAACATCCCCACAGCATGATGCTGCCACCACCATGCTTTACCGTAGGGATGGTGCCAAGTTTCCTCCAGACGTGACCCTTGGCATTCAGGCCAAAGAGTTAAATGTTGGTTTCATCAGACCTTAGAATCTTGTTTCTCATGGTCTGAGAGTCCTTTAGGTGCCTTTTGGCAAACTTCAAGAGCTGTCATGTGCCTTTTACTGAGGAGTGGCTTCTATCTGGCCACTCTATCATAAAGGCCTGATTGGTGGAGTGCTGAAGAGATGGTTGTCCTTCTGGAAGGTTCTCCGATCTCCACAGAGGAACTCTGGAGCTCTGTCAGATTGACCATCGGGTTCTTGGTCACCTCCCTGACCAAGGCCCTGCTCCCCCGATTGCTCAGTTTGCCGGGTGGCCATCTCTAGAGGTTAGATCAGCTTTAGTATTACAGATTGTAACTTCCATCAATGTAGTTGTCTGCAGCAGTTTCAATCCCCCATATGGTTTTTTTCTCGCATATATATATATATACACACACAGTGGGGAGAACAAGTATTTGATACACTGCCGATTTTGCAGGTTTTCCTACTTACAAAGCATGTAGAGGTCTGTAATTTTTATCATAGGTACACTTCAACTGTGAGAGACGGAATCTAAAACAAAAATCCAGAAAATCACATTGTTTAATTAATTTGCATTCTATTGCATGACATAAGTATTTGATACATCAGAAAAGCAGAACTTAATATTTGGTACAGAAACCTTTGTTTGCAATTACAGAGATCATACGTTTCCTGTAGGTCTTGACCAGGTTTGCACACACTGCAGCAGGGATTTTGGCCCACTCCTCCATTCAGACCTTCTCCAGATCCTTCAGGTTTCGGGGCTGTCACTGGGCAATACGGACATTCAACTCCCTCCAAAGATTTTCTATTGGGTTCAGGTCTGGAGACTGGCTAGGCCACTCCAGGACCTTGAGATGCTTCTTACGGAGCCACTCCTTAGTTGCCCTGGCTGTGTGTTTCGGGTCGTTGTCATGCTGGAAGACCCAGCTACGACCCATCTTAAATGCTCTTACTGAGGGAAGGAGGTTGTTGGCCAAGATCTCGCGATACATGGCCCCATCCATCCTCCCCTCAATACGGTGCAGTCGTCCTGTCCCCTTTGCAGAAAAGCATCCCCAAAGAATGATGTTTCCACCTCCATGCTTTACGGTTGGGATGGTGTTCTTGGGGTTGTACTCATCCTTCTTCTTCCTCCAAACACAGCGAGTGGAGTTTAGACCAAAAAGCTCT